TATTTAATCTTTTATCATTAAATTTTTGTTCGAATATCAAAATATCCTTTATATATATATATGTTTTGATACTTGAAAAGAAAGAAAAAAATAGAGATTAGGTAAAAAATATATATATAGAAATTTAAAGAGAGAAATGAGGATTTATTTTGGTGCTTGAAAAGAGAGAACACAAATAGATGTGTGTGAAGGAGAGAAATAATGCATAAAAAATATAATTTTGAAAATAAAAAATATTGTAGTAAAAATACTTCATCACCACTCTAAGAAAAAATTGACAAAAAAAAAATTTATTTACAGAATTTAAAATTAAAAGGCTAAATAATTAGTTTGTGAAATGAAAAGGATTAATTAATTTTAAAAAAAAAAAAACAAGAAGGACAAATTTATGATTTACTCAATATTTTTTGATAAATTAACAGGCTACAAAAAAGTGGATATATACCTAAAATAAGACAAAAATTATAGAACGACAAATGAATTTGAACAGGCCTTAAACCATTTGATGTATGATATCCATAACCAAATTTTGTTATGCTCTAAAAATTGGGCATGAATAACACAAAGTTGATAGATCCAAAAATGAATTTGAAGAAGCTAGAAATTAACTCTGAACCCATCTATTAATCTAACTTATCATTTTACCGAAAAATTGACAAAATTTCCCTTGAAATAATCCATTCTCAAAAGTTAAATTATTGCTACCAATAAGGAAACTCGAGCAAGAAATTTTGTTCAAAATTTAAAAAATACGATAATAAAAAATTTAAGAATATACATGAATTATTATATCATAATCTTAAAATATGGGACTTAATTATGAATTTTATTAAGAGGTTTAGCCTAATTGATAAGAGGGTATGTTCTCTACTTTATCATCTTAATTTTGAATCTTCAAAAAAGCCATAAAAAATATATTTTTTAACGAAAAATAACCCACTTAAGATTCAATCTAGAAAAAATTTAATTTGGATATATGAAAACTGACGTAAAAACCTTTGATTCTCGTGTAAAATCATGTTAAGCTTTTGAGAGGTAGGATTTAGGGTTAGTGTAGGATTGGTAATGTGTGCATGATGTGGAGAGTAATGCACAAATTACCACTCAATTCATGGATGAAAGGCTCACAACATGAATTTTTGCGCTATGAAGCTAAATAGTTGCCTACAAGCAATAGCCCATTTCAACTTGCATTTTTCAAGCAATGATGCAAGATATCCATCATCAAACAAGTGAAGAGTACTTGTTGAGTGCAAGAATTGTGTTAAGTCTCTTGAAATGGCAAAAGAAGGAAAAATGTTGTTTTCATGAGTGCACTAAGAAAAATATTGATCCATCATCCAAAACCGAAAAAGGAGCTTTGCTTACCTATGGAGTGTGCTTGACATGTTAGGACAAGCAATTCTTTCGTTTTCTTTCTTCCTTTTTGGATTGGTAAAAACTAAAAAGTGGTGGAAATCACATGTAAAGTCGGTGGAAAATTTTGGCCAAGCAGCGTTTATTCCAAGTTTAGCTAGTGGGTTCAAAAGTAGAGGAAGCAGTTGACAAAGTTACTCATTCAGTTTGGAAAGTTTTAATCTTTGGAAATTTTAATTTGATTCCTATAAATTATTTTTCAATAAATAATAGGTTCATTAGTTATGTTTTCAGCATTGATCACACATGAAGATCGAGTGATAATTCTAAATAGAAACGCATGTCTTATTCATTAACATCTTCTTCCATGTGTCGTGTTTTAAATTTAAGTTAATGAGACATGTGTTATTTTTTAAAACTATCGAGCGACCTTTACATGAGTCAACACTGAAAAACTGATGGAAAAGACATGTTATTTATTAAAAATAGTTTATGATAGTTAAATTAAAAAATTAAAAATTAAAAACTTACATCAATTTAATTGAAATTTCATAATACTTTATAATAATCTAGACACAATAAGTTTTACACTTTATATAAATTTGGTGGAGTCCATGTGTGAGTGTAAAATGCGCAATTTTTCATACCGACTATATGATCAGCCTGTATCCCAATTTATGTTTTTTTTTTTTTTCCTCTAAAAAAAGTGCAACAAAAGTATAAAATCGTGCATGGATTGTTGAAAGCATCGAACTGGGATTTGTTGTGAGCCTTTTTACCCTATTGCAGGCCCTAACTAATAAGTGGGCCCTTCTGTATAGGCCATGGTTGTTTAGAGAAGGAATTGGACCATCCAGTTGGGAATTTAACAAATGCTTAAAGCTTATTTCAATTGGGCCTTCAAATCCAATTGGCATGGACTGGCAACCCAGTTGCCTGGAGTAGTATTTTTCCTTCTTTTTTCAATATTTTTATTTCAATAATCTCAGACTGAGGCTTTATGTCTTTAGACGTGCTTTTTTTTGTTTGGTAATATCCAGTTTATCTGTTTTTTTTTAATTACTTTCTTGGGTATTTTCTTTATCATTTATGATTTTTTGTTTTTTTTTAATCTGGAGGTGCCGTAGATGTTTATTCAATAAAGATTTAAATCTATTGGAGTATATATATATTTTTAACTCATTTATTCAAAGTTCTTAACGGAATTAATCTGTTAAAATTTGAGTCCGTAACCTTTTGTTATAAGAGACTGCTATCACTATGTTACAAGATCTTTAGTTATTAGAGCGGATCCGATGGACAACGATGCTTATTATGAGAAATAAATATTTACAAGGTAGCATAACTACTAATTGCTACTATATTAACTACTAGATCTAAGATTAATCTAAGTATAACTCTTTTCTCTCGAACCATGTAATTATTTTTGCTTTAATTTTTTTTTTAAGCGTAATCCTTTTATTTATGTCGAGAGTGATTTCAAACTATAAAATCCACTTTGTATTTGCAGTTTATCAATGGAATTTATTATATTTGGAAAAAAAAATGATTGAATTTTTTTTCAACGAACCATATTCATGTGTATTCAAATTATTTGATTGGTTATTCCTATATATTGTCATATTACTATTTGTTATAGTAATATAAGTTCTAGTAATATGATGGATTAGATCGATAAACCATCATAATTGATGTGATTATTGATTTGTTTAAGTAAACTAGTTTTATATGATAATTTTTCTTTTCTCTTTGCACATTAATTACATGAATGATTGTATAAGACGCATGAACAAGTTGTTAGTTTTTAGTAATATCTATATTCAAGTACATCATGCTTAAATCTCTCATAAAAAGTACCATATTCAAGTATAATACTTGACGTGGGGGCATTTGTTTCCTTGAATTTTTGACAGCCCATGAACACTCGCATTTATGATGACAGTAGTAAGGGCACACGTTATTGATAGTTGAAAGCATTTTCTTAATCCTTGCTTGTTTTTTTCCCTCTTCACCGAGAGTTGTGCAGGAGATTAAATAATACAATTTCATTTATCCAGAAAAAAAAAAAGAAACTCTGCAAATCACAAATCATTGATGCAAGTCACAGGATCACATGAAACCATGTGCCAGAAACGGTTGGTAAAGTTAAGAAGAGGAGTAAATTATAAATTAATCCCTCTATGTTTTAAAAACAAATTAATTAGTCCTCGTTCTTTTAAAAACTAATTGCTTGGTTTTTTAACCAACTTGATTGTGCTTAATTTAATAGTATTTTATCTAAAAAAGCTTAATATCTTTTCATCAATTCTTTTATATTTTTTAACTTATTTTTTTTCTATTTCTTAAAAATAAAAAAAATTAATTAAAAAGAAACAAAAAAGGTTAAGTTACAAGAATGTTTAAAAAATACAAAGATTGAATAATTAATTTTAAAACAAAAGGAAATAATAAATTCCTCTTTTAAAACTAAAAATGCTCACTTGTAATGAAAAAAGACTGAAAAATATTAAGTTACAAGAATATTTAAAAATATAAAGATTAAATAATTAGTTTTTTGTTTCAACAATAAAGATTTTTTTGGATTAGTTTTCAGACACCTCAAGAAAATAATTAGTTTTTAAAACGAAAGGAGTTAATCACTTAATTTTTCAAAAGTAAAAGGACTAATCTATAATTTACTCTTCAGAAGAAAAGTAGTAAAAGATCCTTCCACGTACGGTGGATGGATGGATGAGGTACGGTTGTGAACCCCAAAGTTCCACGTTCAATTATCCAAAAACAAGTAAAAGAAAATCTTATAGTATGCATTCACATGATTAAATCAACATGACCATGACATGATGTCAATGAAGCAATCAAAAGGGCTAATTTTGCACGGAAAGTCAACAAAAGTATCCTTGTTTGTCCAATTAAATTAGTCCCTACGTCTCCACCCTCTCCGCGAAACTTACCAAATCCCCAAAATTTCTTTTTCTTTTTCTTTATTGATCCAAATTTGACCTTAGAAGATAGCTTTCACAATCCAATTTTGATTCATTCATTGATCACCCCCCACATGTTGCAGTTGCCTAGAAGTCTCCTCGAAGTCCACTCTAAGCTTCTTCCTTCAATCTTGCACACTAATATTTTTACGTGTCAAATAGTGCTGCTACATAGACTAGCCGTAGTTCTTGACTGCCAGCTTGGATCATCGAAATGTTATTCTCTTCCAATCTTATTCGTTGGTTTATTGACATGTAGTTTATTTGTTTTGTTTTTTTTTGCAAACATTGTTTTCAAGATGGATCAATGAACAAGTCATTGGGATATGGGGAAAAAAAAATGATGGATAAGACATTAATTATCATGTTCATCTTCATGTTTTTTTTTTTTTTTTATTGATCATCTTCATTGAAGAATTTGAAACAAATTATTGAACATGAAATAATAATAACAACAACAAAAAGAATGAAATTTTGTGTAATTTCTACCCCTCCCCTTCCCTTCCTTTCCCCCACAACAAGAACTTGAAACAAAAAAAAAAAAAAGGAAAAAACTATGAACATCTGACCTCATTCTCGACCCTTAAAGGAAGGGAATAAAAAAAAGAAGAAATTAATTAACTATTCATAAGAAACAAAAAAATTAATAAGAAACAACTCTAATTAATTTCTGTTGCTTGTGTTGTTGGTGGCATTGCTGTTATTGTTGGTGGTGTTGTTGGTGGTGGTGGTGGTGTTGTTGTTAGCACCACCGATGATGGAGCTGATGGCAGCTGCAAGTGCAGCAGTGAAGTTAGGATCTGAGGTGATGGCGGCGGTGGCAGCACTCAATGTGTCTTGAGATAGAGAAGGTTGTTGTCCTGAGTGCAATACTTGGGGTTGAGTTTGGTGGCCTAATTGTGATGACCCCATATCCTGAGACAATTGAAGGCCAGAGAATTTCGATTGGTTGTATAGGGCTTGACCAAAAACCTGAGGCAATTGTGGTGTTGTGACGGGGGCAAAATTCTGGGGTTGGCCTGGGAAAGGGACTTGGAATGGTGTAGGAGGTCTTGGGAATTGTAGAGGGTTTGGACTGTGTGTGAGGTCTAATGTTACGGTAGGGAATGGAGCCGAAGCTGAAATTGTTGCCATGCTTGACGAGCAAGGGAGTATTGCTCTTGCTAGCAAATTTGGGTTCATGATACCATCTGCGCTTGACATTGATCCTGATAGCAACATAGTTGCGGCTGCTGCTGTTGTTGATGCCATTGCCATTGCAGCTGGAGGTAGAGGGTGATTGTGATTGCCTTCATAAGTTGTGATCAAGATTGTTCTATCCTCGGCGCAACGTTGAACCTGCAATTCATCACCATAGTAAATTGCATCAGTCTTAGTCTTGGCTAGATTTTTTTCTTGAAATATAGAGATAAAATGAAGATCAGGACTAAAACATACTTGTTTGCGAACTGGGCAACCAACTGCCATGGTGCACCGATAATAAGCTCTCGGACAGGGATTTCCTTTAGCCATCTTTTGACCGTATTTTCGCCACTGGCAGCCATCAGTAATCTGAATTGATCAAACCAAAAATTAGTTCCACACTAATAGTTCAAAATTCAATCAAAATTTTCAGCAGTTCTAGCTAGTTACATACCATGGGAGCCTCTGATCGTGCACGAACCGAGACACGGGCTTTTCTCATGGTTGCCTCGGCGGATTGTTCAATAGCCTTATTAGCAGAACCAGCAGGATTCAACTTCTGTACCTTGTTAGGGTTCCAGCCTTGTGATTCTGATTCAGGACTCTCTTCCCTGCCAATTCTTTTCCCATCTCGGAAAGTAGAATTCTCCTGATCATATTTAACCATCTCAAGTTTACCATTGTTTTTCGTCGAAGCTACTTCGAAATGATTTTGTGGTGTTCCGGAACGAGTCCTCTCATCGGAAGAGGAATTGGATATTTCATCAGTCTCAGCTGAAGGGCCTAGATCCATGAATTGTCTAGGCACTACATCATGTTTCTTTTCCTCGGAAGATTTTCCTTCTACAGTCTGAAAACATCAAAAACACCTAATTTAAGCTATTTGGACCAACATGGTATACTAAAATCATCATCACGTCAAGGATATATATATATACACACTTGGAATTGTGATTAGAGAAAATTAGTTACCTCTTGTTGATCTTTATTGCTTTCAACTCCATGGTTTTGTTGCTGTTGTTGTTGCATTAAGGCTACAAAATGCATCTGTAAGGCACTGTAATTGGTGGTTACTTGACTAAGCATGTCTTTTAACCTCTGATTTTCTGTATTCATTTTTTGAAGCTCCAATTGCAATTGTGCTAGCTGCAACATGTAACAAAAAACAAATCCTTAGGTGGGCTATCTTAAAAAAAATAAAAAAATAAATAATAAATAAATAAATCCTTTCAAATCTTATTAATTACCTCAATATTCTTTGATCGCTTATCATCAGCATCAGATGAAACTCCATCATCCACAGTTGATTGATCACTTCTAGTGTTAGCAGTTAGAAGGTGCAATCCAGTCTATATTGAGAAACCAAAAAAAGAAAATCAATCTCTCTATTTTTAGGGAAAAAAATAATAATTAAGCCATAATTCACAAAAAGAAATTATTTTTCTTACATTTACATTAAGAGCAGCACTGGACCGTGGAGCAACTTCAGAAAGAGAATTCTCCTTCTTGACCATGACACTTGTGGTTTTAGAATCATGATGATCATCAGCCCTATTTATCTTCTCCTTAAAGAAGTCTACTTCACGAGCAGCAGAAGATGGTAGCTCATCTTTGTCAGCAGAAAGACTAACTGGAAACTGAAACATATTATTAGTAATATTCCTCGAATCAGCCATGTTATGATCAGAACTAAAGTCTCTTTTGATCTTCAAAAAGAGCCAACGGAGCTGTTGCTGTTGTTGCTAGAGAAGACAGAAACAGGATCAGAAGCAAGGGCAAGACCCCATCCTTTGTCCATAAATGAAAGAAAAAAAGAGAGCAAAATAGCTAACAAGAAGAAGAAGAAGAAGAAGAAGAAGATGGGTAAGCAAGAAAAGAGAGTTTTTCTTGGGAGAAAAAGAGAGGTGTGATTGCTATGTGTGCAAAGTCTGTGAAGTCTTTTCCCGGTGCAATGAGCTCGGCTATAAAAAGGGTTTGAGGGGTGGACCAAAAGAGATAGATTTAATATTTCTAGTAGATTTTTTCTTTTTTCTTTTTTCTTTTTTTTGTTGGGTTGAAAATGGATCTATTTAGAAATTGGTGGGATTTTTGATTGGTTGCGTCAGGTAGTGCGTCAGGAATTCTCCAGCTGGCAGTATTGGCCAGTCTTATACTGCTGCTGCCGCAAGAAGTTTAGACTTTTAGCTTGCTTTTGTATAAAATGGGTTGTCAATGGATACCCATATAGGTTAAGTGGATAATCCATCACAACCATGAACATCTTGATGATAGTATTTGGGCAAATAATAATAATAATAATAATAATAATAATAATAATGTTAGTGTTAAGAAGAAAAATTTGAATAAATAATGTTCATTGATTTTATTAAGTTAACTAAAATCCAATTCAGTATCCTAGTATGATAAATATCTCGTTGCATTACTAATAGAAAATCATTTACCTTAAAATAAAACTATTTTAGTTAAAATTGTATAATATTTATTAAATCTTATTATTAGAGAAATACATTCGCATATCTCTATATATCTAAACTATAATTCATCCATTTGTTAAATATTCATGAGACAAAAATAACATTTGATAAACATCAACTTAAAATAGTTGTTTTTGGTGTTATTCATTTTCGTTTTACTAGTTTCAATCAATTTATTTTCTCCTAAAAATGTTTTTTTTTATCTTTTAATATTCATAATGTATTATTCTTGCCATTAATGATGTAAATGAAATCACACGTCAATTTACAATATGCTAATAATTCATTTTGCTAATGATAATATTCTCAAATCATTTATAATATATTGAGAATAAGTCTCTTAAATAGACTTTAAAAAAGTCATTTATATTAAAACCAATATATTTACGAAAAAAAGAATTCCTTTATCTCAATCTTATTTTGGATTCGAAAATAAAATAAAAAATAAACTCATTTTTTAACCAAATCGAACATCCAATGATATATATATATATATATATATATATATATATATATATATATATATATAAAAGATGACTTGAATTTGAAGAAAAATGAAATATGGATCCGGGTATGGAAATGGAAGCAAAAATGATAAAATGTTGACAAGATTTGTACAGTGAGACAAGTGAAGGAAAAAGGACGGAGTAGGGGAGGTGGGGTATATAGGTTTCGTCTACATTTCGTCAAGAAAGAGTTTTGACTCATTCACAAATCAAAACAAGAAAGAAAAAAGAAAAACCAAAGCAAAAAGAAAAAAAAGAAAATTGCTCAGGAATCCCACCGCCCCTTATTGTGCGGCGCGTTCCACGTGAGGAAATTAAATTAACCAATTAAATATTTTTCTTTTTTTTTTTTATTTAGTAAGAGAGAAGGAGGAGCCAAGTCAACGAAATTGACGGCCATGCTTGGTTATGACTGGAGACCGGGTGAGACAGTTGCCTAGTCTCAGGGTGGGTCCCTTTCTTACATGAGCCCACCCACGTTTCAGATCTGCTCCCCGTTAACTATGTTGACTGTTTACCGGTGGGACCGAGTCACTTGCTTTGACTTTTTAGTTCTATATCTCTCTCTCTCTCTCTACATGTCTCTCAAAATTTCTTTTTGTCTTCCTTCCTGGGTTTAGTCACTGCCTTGTGCTTATAAACCCTTGACGACAGCCTTAATTATCCACTTTATTATTAAAAAATTTTCCTGAAATAGGTAATTCATATAATGAAAACTTAAGGAATTATATTTTGGATGGGAGTAATTTGATTGAATTTTTTAAAAAAAATGTCATTTGATTTTTAGGTAAGTAATTAATCTGTTGATAAAATTAGCATTATTTATCCAATAGCAGTCCATCAAGCTCCTAAATATGATTAATCTTGATTGAAAAATATGTTCCATTTCTTACACTATATATATATATATATATATATATATATATGCTCATAAGTTTTAAACTACATGATTAATAAGAGGTACTCTCTTCTCTCATATAATAATTAAATAAACTGAAATTATTAGTATTTAAATTTATTTTATTAAAAAACTATCAAACACGTAACCGTTAGACTATTCGAGATTTGTGATGGTAAATATTTTAAAAATCATGAGTAATTCATTTATAGGAGTGTAAAAAAATTCATTATGAGTAATTCATGTGTTCAAATCTTTCTTATTTATGGATGATGTGTTTGAATGCATATGTATGTTTTTTTATTTAGTGAGAGATTCATGAGTTTTAAACTATACAATAAGAAATAATATTCTTACGTTACATAATAACAAAATAAATTAGAATTTTTAGAATTTGAATTTATTTTATTGAAAAATTACCAAACACACAATCGTTAGACTCTTCCGACTTGTGTGATGGAAAATATTTAAAAAATCATGAGTAATTCATATGTGGGAGTATAAAATAACTAGTTATGAGAACCTATTATGAAAATTTAGCAATTCTTGTGGAAGAAATCACAGTAGGGTTTATAAAATATTACTAATTTATGCATATACACCAAATCAATCAAACTCGTATATAAAATAAATTATCATGATAGGGTACGCATGAGTGGGTCAAGTTAATACGTATGCTTACTTATTCAAAATTATTTTATATATAAATATTAATAAGGTAATGTTTTGACATTCGACATGAATAATTGCAGAACTTAGTCTAAACTCCATCGCTTTTCTAAATTATGTCTTCTAGGATGTAGTATTACTTCGCTATCTCCATGTTTTGACATCCCTTTTTCTTCAATTTTTTACCCTTTCTTGTTTGTCTTGGTATTTCACAATCCACCAATGGCAGACCTATTATTAAGAGCTCACTCTTGTTTCTTATAGCCTCAAATTTTGACCACGGAAGAATTATTGTACAAATTTCTGCATCTATTGAAAAGTACTTTTGTAGCAACAATATCACAGATTTTATATACTCCATGGAGTGTTTCTTTTTGGTTTGAGTTGAGTAAGAGATCAAACATTTCTCATGCATGGAATTATATATAGTTTCGGTTGTGTGTGGCTTTAAACCTCTCATCCAGCATTCTCAAACACATATAATCTCAACCCAAAAAAAAAACAATCGATTTCCATGACAATATGGTGGCTATTACTTGGCCAAACATTATCTCATACCCATATTTCTTGACTTATTACTTAACCCAAACTCTCTTGTTCTTATTGCACACGGATTTTCAACATCTAATGACGTTTAATTGCTTTAATCCTCTTTAATTTCATTTAATGTACCTTTTGAAAATCTTGCTCGTGAGGTTCAAGTTAAGACAAAAAGTGATGGCTCATCGCTGGCTTGCATCGTCTATATCCTAAACCCAAAATATCTACCATTCTTTGCTTTGACTAACCAGAGTTTTCAAGAGGAAAAAAAAAAGCCTTCAATATCACACCTTCATAGCCTTACCAAGAATGGGAAAACGGTGGCCAACAATTGACCATTTGATCGATTTCGATCTCCTAAAAACGTAATTGCTCTCCAAATTTCGCCTTTTAACAAAACTCGTGAATTGGACTTAGAATTGAAATCCATTGAATAGTGAAAAGTAAATTTTTTCTCTTTGCATGCATGTAACGAGGACATTGTTTTGTGTTGAAAATTCTTCTGTTCAAACCTACGGCGCCCAAAGAAAAACAAGAGGAAAGGGGTACGAAAATGAATGGAGAGATTCAATTCAAAGACATCAAGAAAAGTTGGTGCTTTGTTCATATCATTATGTTAGAATTATTTTTAGATAGAGAGAATAGAATCCGTTTGTCTTTTGGGCCAACAAGATTTGATCATGCCCTAGGGGAGGATGTATATGTAGAAAAAAAAACCAAGATTGAAGTACCGTACTAGCTAACTGCAAACGTGCATGAAGGAAAACACTGACCACCTACCCATCAAGTTGCTTGGAGTAAAATAGTCAAGTATGCTTCAAAACAATGCTAGACAACCTCTAGAGAACTTAAAATGAAATGGAAGGCCATATTTTTCATTTTTGAACTTTATTGAATGGGTTAATAACTTAATTTAGTTTTTTAAAACAAGATAATTTTTCAATTTGTTTTTATATATTTCATCAAGTCAATTCTATCTTTAATTATTAGAATTATATCTTTAATAGAATTATTTACATAATTTGCGCATGAGTAATTTTTATTTTTAAAGTACTTTTACAAGCCAATCAAATAAAAAGATTTTCATGTGTAAATCCTGTGACTAATTTGGATAATTTAATTTAAAAATCTTATTAGAAAAATAGATTAGATACTTACTTAATGTATATTTAAGAACAAATTTAATTTAATTAAAGATATAAAGATAATTTGAATAATTATCATGTTAAAAAAATGATTGAATCATTAATCCTTATTGAATTTGTTGTATTGGTTTTGAGTCCCTTTTAATGTTTTTTCTTCTTAGAGTAAAAGAAATTAATTATAATTTTTTTTCTTTTTATTTTCCTTTTTTTTAGTGTTCATTTATTGAGCACTTTATTGAATATTATTGACTTGCAATTATTTTTGGATTTTGTTCTAATCAAAAGTTTTCTAAATAGTATGGAATAATGTAGAATTCTACATTTTAGTGATGAGTTTGCATGGATAGAAAATAAAAAGTTTAAGGTATTTATATATAAAAAGACTTATAATCCAACATTCTAGGTTTTTATATGAGAATTGTTAAATTCATCAAATAAATTGTT